GAAATGATCTCGTTATCTAAGGAATGTCGTGTCGTCATGATATGTATCAAACCAGCCTCTAGAACGCCTTGGAATTTTATGTACAAAAAGAAATGCAGCGCCATAAAATCCTGACGCCGTCATCTATCTCCTCCTGGTAGAAGATGTCGATGTCTTCTTGTCATCCCTTTTCGTACTTGAGGTGGTCGTCTTGGGTGCTGAAGTGATCGTCGCAGTGGAAGAAGTAATTTTAGCTACAGACGGTGGTGAATCAGTTGTCTGCGATGTCGCAGCGGACGAGGACGAAGAAGAAGAAGCTGGTCGAGTGCTGGTGACTAGCGTGCTAGGTCCCTTGCCTCCATTGGCCCAGTATTCCACAAGCGCCTGCTCAACCTTTTCAGGTTCTGTGTAAGCCTCCAGAGCCTCAAGCTCAGCGCACTTCTCATCGATGTGCTCGTCGTCGTATTTATTGATATCCTTGGAGCGGTACTTCTCCTCCATCGGGTCAATGAACTTGGTTGTTTCGGGGTAGCCGAAGTTGGCAAGGCTGGTGACGTTGAAAGCAGCCATCATGTCGTGGTCCTCGTGGATGAGGTTGTGGCAGTGGAACATGTATACACCATCGTATGGGGCGTAGCGGGCGATGACGGTAACCTTCTCGTTGGTACCAAGCAAGACGACGTCCTTCAAAGCTTCTCGTTCGTAGGGAAGAACACTTCGTTTACCTCCTGTGCGGCTCAAGATCTGGAAGTCGACGAGATGGATATGCACTGGATGGCTCCAGCCGCCGGATGAATTCTCAAGCTCCCAGACTTCGACAGCGCCGCGTTGGGGCTTTGCGAGGATGCGGTTGTTAACGTCGGCAAAGGTGACGCCGTTGACGGTCCATTCTCCGCCGGTGCGTCCAAATTTGAAGCTCCTGTCGATGCCACTCTTCTTGGGTGGGAAAGGTACTGTACGCAGAGAGCCTGGGAGAGCGCCGTTACCGGCGGTGCTGGAGACGGTGGAACCGACAACAAATCGCATGACCTTGTCAGTGCTGTTGTAGTCCTCGTCTGCTTGTACGTCGCGCGCATTCTTCATCGTTACGTTCTTTCCGGAATATGCGCTGAAGTCGACGACAATCTCCCAGCGTTCAGCCATTGAGATCTCAAGGTTGTCAGTCGGCACAGGCTTGGACATGAGACCAGTGTCTGCAGCGATGACATTGAATGGAACCTTCTTGGCTGAAGGGTCCTCAAGAGTGAGCTTGAAGGCACGGCTGATGGCTGTGTTGAGCACCCTGAAGCGGTATTTGCGTGGCTCCACCTTCATGTAAGGCCATGGTTGGCCGTTGACGTGGATGACGTCGCCCCAGAGAGAAACGGTCTCACTTGCTGGATCAAAAAGCGTGCCGTCACTGTTGTACTGCTTTGAGGCCAGTGCCAGAGGCACATCGTATGAGCCCGAAGGAAGTTTTAATTCATCCTCAGCAGGGTCATGGAGAATGTAGAAGCCCGCTTGTCCGAAGTAGGCGTTCTCCGCAGTGTGATGAATGGCATGGTCGTGGTACCACAAAGTTCGCGCACTCTGCTTGTTGGGGTAGTCTAGAATTATTAGCATTCATGTGGCATAATGCCAGTGACAGCCGGTGCTCACAATAGTCCTTGTATTGTCCGTTCTTGGTAGTGTCCTCAGCCCATCCATCGAAAGGTGCTCGGCTGTATGAACCATGAAGATGCACCGAAAGGTCCTTAGGGCCGTGGTTCTTGAATCGAACAATGGCTTCACGACCTTTGGTCATGCGGAAAGTGGGACCAGGTGATACTCCATCGTATCCAACAAGGTTGGCAGGCTTAAGCCCAGGGTAGACTTGTTGTGTGAATGGCTTCACATCGACCTCGTAGAAGTCAATCTCATTCCCTGTCGTCTTGTTTCGGTAGGTGTACGACTTGGCCTTATCCTGGGGGATAGGAAGCGGGTTCTGAAAAATCTGCTTGTAGACTGGGCTGAGCCACTCGTCGTCGCCAGCAAGTGCTTGCGATGCCAAGAGGGCTGTGATTCCAATGGAAAGATAGTTCTTCATGGCGTAGTGAAGGCGGATGAAGAACAGGAGATGAGCAGATATGAGTGAATTGGGCTGATGCTCTGTTGTACACTGGCGTCTTGGAACACTTTATACATCCCCATCTCATGGTATACAGGAGTTAAAAGGTCTCGAATACGCCTGCTTCATGGTATCCGGCCAGACCCCCGTTCCCACCATCCCTCATGGTGGCAAGTGTACTCCCACAAGAATGGTATGTGAAGTCTAGGGCCGGCAGGAGACGCCATTCGGCGTTCTCGCTACTGTTGCCTGAGTGTGTCGATATTCACCATATCGTAGTCTGCTTCAAGCCACTGCCTGGAAAGGCCGAGAATATGGGATCCATGCCTAGACATGGCTTGAGAGGCTTGGTATGAGCAAGAGCTAGGCGATGAGCGAAAGCTGATGAGTCTTGGCGACCAGTAGGATGACTAGCCCATGCTGACGGAACAACATGAGAGACTACTCCATTTACAAGTGCGGGATGAATTCGATCAGTATCTCCGAATGGTGCATATGAGTAGGTGATGCTGAACTCAATCTTGACTCATCTGAATCTTCTCGACCACGAGAATCCCAGGTCTTCCCTGCTCTTCACCACGACCACGTGACGGAATCAGTAGGCAAAGTGAGCAACGAACGAGTTGCAGAGTCTGTTTCGGGAAGACCGACAGTCTCAACTCGGAAAGGTGTAGTCAGGAAGGTCTTCGTTTACGGATGGCGCTCTACATGCCTAGACGACGGCTGGGTACGAGCGGTCAACACGATTCAGGCCCTCCATGAGAACTTTCGTAGCAGTCTCGCCCTGCTAGGGCTGAACATTGTTGCCAGCGTGTGAGCTGTGAGGCGCTAATTGCTAGTGCATCGTGGTACGCGAGAGACCGGTCAACTTGGCCAGGCTTGTTTAGGAGTCCCGTCGATCCAGGAATAGCAGTTCCACGTCCGGGGGACTGCTTGCCAGTGTGCCGGTGCTGTGTGTGTGTGTGTTCATCGCAAGCGGAGAAGTTTGAAGGGAGGCTGCGGAAAGGGAGGTCTGGACTGTGACCAAGCTGCGATCGGCGCTAAGCTAGCGCCCGTCGGCCTTGGCGTGGAGATCCCGAGGTCGCTCAGCCTGTCATTCGAAGCCCTCCAAGCCACCACGCCTCTCCACAGCTTAACCTCAGCTACCCCGTAATGCAGCATCAGCGCGGAATTCATGCATGCCGAATGCACGGCTCGTGTCTTCCCTTTTCATTACACCGCTTCACCATTGGTCAAGTCGTACCATCACGTGTACGAGCTTCAAATTCCCTCCCGTCACAATCCGCCAAAACAACTGCGTCGCCGAACTGGAGTTGACCCAGGAAAATAAACAAAAAGGATCTGATTCTGCCGATAGCCTTGCGCCCAATGTCAAGCCTCAACACTGGATGTCGCGTTCTTACTATCACGTCCACGTAGGACCGCGCAGCGATCATTGTCTGGAATACCTAGGTAGCTGTCGCACTACGCTGGGATCAGAACATGGTGGAACGAGAAGACCACCACCCTGGTCCGATCGCGGACTAACAGTAGCAAGATCATGCCATTGCTATATCAGAGTGGAGTCTGTCCTTCACACCTACTTCGCAATTGATTCCGAGCTGAGCTCGACCATGGCACAGCGTCGGAAAATATCTAGCATGGGAAAATTCCCGCTAAGTCGACATCCATCCGCTTACCCCTGCGAGACCACCCCGCGACGGCACTTGGACACGCGAGAAGGGTGATACTAAATCGGGGGCCCTGTTCCCCAGCAGACCCCTGTCAGCAGTATCGCCTCTGATGTCTCTCCACGCCTTCGTACAAACCGCTGTCAACCTTCCAATAGACTCGTGGCATGCAAATGTTGACACTGCATGGGAAAATTCCACGTCGTCTCTGCTACCATCGTGTTGCTTCGCTGTCTTCGCAATGGCGCCGCCATTTTCTCAAGTCCGATAAGCTGAGGCTGTCAGTGTGCAGTAGCGAAGGACTAGATGGGACTTCTGCGGCACTTTTCCATTCTGGTCTCACCGATGCTGTTCGAGAATGTCGCCTCGTTCAATAATGGCTTGCAGATTGCCAAGTCCGCTCAGCCAGACGCGAAAGCTTGGCCTCTGCTAGACCCATGGAAATACGACGAGCCTCAGCTGTGGCTCCCGCTGCTACTGCAATGTCGTGTCCGGTGACCTGGTAAGCCGTCGTTTCTACCGCGTTGCTCTACCTCGGTTCTGTGGCAGGCAACAGTCGGAGTCCGTTTTCGTATACTTCGCCTACTTGCGGACGAACGATATCATGACAATGAGTTTACTGTCTGTTCACATGTCAGACCTTTGCTCTCGAGAACTTGAGAGGAACGCCGTCGCGAGACTAGAATATCTTTCCAGGCCTGCCCGCACATACGTTATTTGCAAACTTTTCAGCGCTCAGCCGTGTCTTCGCTCATCCAGAACCGAAAGCTTGTTTCTATCGCACGACTAACGTAAAGAATCACCCAGCGGAAGCCTCGGTTGGAGCATAAGAAGGTCTTTGATGCGTACCAAGTACCCTAGCGATAGCTTGTCACGGTTTGTTGAGGTGAGATCTCATGATGTACTCATCATTGCCGTGCATGTCAACTACGTGCTATCAATCACTCTGAATGTCTATGATGCGTTCCAGATCTTTCGAGAAGACCTCCAACTAGTCTTTTTGACAACTCTATCGAGGTCGGCGAAACTGTGTCTGGGCAGCTCTACAAACGAACATGACCAATCGCCACCACATTCCGGACAGCGCGCACTCAAGACCTTTCCCGCGGCTATGAACATGAGGACACGAAGTGCAGGTGGAAGCGAAATCCGCCATTGCTTTTGCGATCCCTCGCTAGTCTTGCCCGTTTCCATTCCGACAAGGAGCCGACATAAGAGAAAACACTCTATGCGATGACTCAAGATCCCAAAGCCGTTTGTTGTTCTCACCGACCAGAGGACGTCCGCAGAATCAACTCCTTGGGATCTTGCGTTGTCCAGAACCTTTTCATTGCCGAGCTGTCATCGAAATCCTTGTACGTTACACGCACACTAGGAAGCTTCCGTTCCATAGTTTTGGTGAAGTTGACTCTGGATTCCTCGATATATTCGCTCTCATACCGGGTTGGCTCGACCTCTTCAGCTTCCTCGTCGTCTTCGTTATCAGAATCCGCAAAGAACCCCGTAGCGGACAGTAGTAGTTCCACATGCGTTAGATTCTCGAAAGCACGGAGCGTGGGACGGTATTCGCCCGTTTCATCATCCACATCATCGTCAGTCCCCGGATCTACTATCTGGGCTAGCATGTATAGATCCGAAGGATCGACGCCAATCTGGATGGAGTGTACTAAGCGGATCTTGTGCTTTGGTCCTTCACTATATATTATGTCCCAGAAGAAGGATTCGTAGTCTCGCAGGCATATGAAAGACCAGGTAAGGAATGGACCCGCCAGACTGATAGCTTCGGTGTAGATTTGTCGGCATACCGTAAGGACGCGGAATGGAGAGTATCGGGAAACCTCCTTGCAAGCGGGTTTTGCAGTTCCCGTAAAGGTAAAGGTCCATATGAGATCGCGCAGTTCACGGGGTAGACGCAATAGAGGCGATTCGAGCGCATTGCGCTCGACGCTATTTGATGTCAGTATGTGATGCCTTGACGCAGGGCATAACGCGACTAACGTGGACTTTTGCCAATCAGTTTTTGGCGCGACATCAAAGACTCCATTCTCTGTCCTTGACAAGGCTGTATGAGATTCTGATATCGGTGACATGTTGCAGGACCCTGGGCAGACCTCAATGTTGGGTGTGGAAAGGGAGAATGATAGAGACATCGGGTTTGTGCTCACGGCGGTGTGTAGGTAGCTCCGTTGATGCGGGGTGATGTCACCCCTCACGATCGACGCTCAGGGATCCACGGGCTCACAACACAACTAAACTTCACGTCCTACCTCCTGCGCGCATTGTATATTGAGCATCGGTGATATCTACGACACCAAGTGAAGACAGCGGGAAACCATATTGCAAAGTGTCATTATTATCTGGCATAACGCACACATGGAAAGATTGTGAAGCATACCTACATCCTCCACCAGCATCTCAACCAACCCAATTCGCCCTAGACTAGACAACGAGGGCCTTCTCAATCAACCCATAAAAACCTCTCCTTCCCAAACCCCAAACTCGATCCGCCCATCCCCCACCTTGCCCCTCTCCTGCTCAACCCACCCTTCCACCAACATAACAGCATGCCCTCTGACCAACGTCTCCCCCTCCTCATCAACCAACAAAAGCAACACCATCCACTCTCCCCTCCCATCCTTACCAATCAACGGATGAGAATCCGGCTGCGCCTCCACCCCCGCCCATTTATACAACGACGAGTACGGCTTCAGAGCCGGCGGAACAACAGCCTTGAAGCGAGCAAGGAGAGAGTCGTGAAGAGCCCGCGGCACAAATGGAACATCCAAATTCACAGCAACAAGCACAGATTTCGGCGCTGCGCCCATTCGCGAAGCGAGATGCTTTGGTAGACGTTGAAACGGCATCTCACCTTCCCTTCCCAACCCCCCTACTTCTTCATACACAGCGAATTGGGCATCCACGATATCAAACACCATCTTCTCCTCTCCTTCTCCCTCCTCTTCCAGAAACCCCACGCCCACCTCCCCCTCCTCTAACGTCCTGCTCTTTTCCAGGTTCAGTCTTCGACTGACACCCATGTATGCTTCTGTCTTTAGAAACGCAATGTCATCCATCAGGCACGTGTAGAGGTATTTCGGCATCAACCCTTTGCTCGTTTCTTTTCCTTCTTCTTTCTTGTCGTGCGTATGCGTATACCCATCATCGCCCTCCGGCGCAACGAACCGCAAGTCTTGCGTGACGTGACCAGAACCCGTGTCGGGTATATTGAGCATATCTCTGAAATGGAGTTTGGTCCAGCGGAGGAACGTGGTGGCATTGGCTGGAGTGGGGTCGTGGAGGCGGGGGTGTACGAGGAGGAGACCTGGTTTGGGGCGAGCTTGGGGAGGTGGTGAGGGATTTCGGGATGGGAGGGTCATGATTATGAGTCTTGGATGCTTGCGATTTCAGATTGCAAAGGGAGGGAAGGTGCCGTTAGTCGGGTCTTTATATGTTTGTCAAGTTCTCGCTCCTTTTATGTTGCGCCCGCCGTCGTGTATCCTCGGACGGTAAGCGCGGAGTTCCGAAGCTGCAGCTGCCAGCTGCATGAATTTCCTGACTGCATACCGAATCTTAACTTTTTCCCGAACGATTAATCTGAGTTGCTGCTTGGCTCCCGAGATGTGCAGTTCGGCTAAAAACGAATTCTGGAGGTGCATGTCGCCAGGGTAGTCAATGTAGATTGCGAGACTACGCACTGCACGCACAACCATCCAACCCATGCGGAGAGGCTTTGTAATTCAAATATTTGATTCGTTTCAAAGAAACTAAGTAGATGGATGTGCACGTCTCGATCGACAAGGCCCTATTCTTACAACGCGGAATTTGACATCGCGCTTCCTCCTCCATAGTCTCAATCCTCTGTTATCCCGTTCCCATTCTCCCAGCTTGACAACACGCTCCAATTTCAGGTATTCCGCCATGAATAAAAGCAAGCAAGCACCGTAACTCCTGTCATCCTGATGCTGATGCCACCACAATGGTAAACGCCAATACCCCAGGCGTTCAAGAAACAATATGAGCGTCCAACCATGACGCAAGCGAGTCCAACCATTTGTATCCAGGATCTGCCCTGTCCAAGTCGTCGGATGCCTAATGCGTTGGTTGCCGTGGCAAATGTAGGAAGATTGTACACTTTTCAATCTCGACATCTTCTTTCTTTGCAGTGCCACCTTCGGACTGAACCTTGCGCTCCTTCTCTGCGACAATCTCAACCTCGATACGATTGACGCCAGCTACGAGTTTCGCTTCGAACAGTGGCTCGCCCTTCTTCTTGCCACCCTCGTAGCTGGGACTTGGGCTTGTGCCGTTGATGCCTGCCGTGACAGGAACACGATTCGCTTCGAGTGTCTTATTGCCATTCACAGTGACAAAGAGGCGGTACATCCGGCTTGTAAGCGCGATAGGGACCTTGGGTACAACTTGAATGTAAGAGTTGGACGGTGCGACCACCATCGTGGCACTGTACATGGCTATTTGTTTGTTCGCCAGGATGCTCGTAGACCATGGCTTCGACGGGTTAAGCGCTGGGTGGGTATTGAGTGTGATTTTGGGTATTAGTGCTTCGTCGACGCCTGCGTTTGTTAATAGAAGATCTCTTGAATCAGGATTGCTACACTTACTCTTGAGTGGCACCTTTCTGAAACTGTCTACGCGGGCTACTGGTGGAGGCGCGTAGTAAGTTGGCGTTTGGAATGAGGGAACGTGATTTCCATTCTGCAGCCCAATACCGTTCGGATGTGGACTGCCGCTTGCCTGGCGAGACACACTCTGTGGCGGGGCCATGCTTGGATGTGGAGTCTGCGCTGGGACGCTGAGTCGGGCAGCCTGGCTATCCGGTGCGGTGCTGGCCGGCCTGATGGCACTCAGGGCAGGGGATTGGACGTCTTGCTTGACACCGTTGACGGCGGGCGGGGAACCTGCGGTTTTGTTCTGGGCGGCAGAGAGTGGTGCAATCGACGAAGCACCACCTCTCGGTCCAGTAAAGGGATTGGCAGGTGCTGTTGGCGTCGCGGCTTTCCCAGGTGGGGCTTGAGATAATCGGTTGCCCACGCTATCGAGAACATGTCGTTGTTGTCGCTGAAGGGCGTCGTTGTCAACAATGACGCCGGGCGTCGCAGAACCGCGAGCACTTGGAGTGTTACGCTCCGATCCCGGACTCGGCTTCAGCTTGAGCTTGAGCTGCTGTTTTGGAGCCGCGGCGGCGCTGGACATGTTAAGCTTCAGCTTCGGTTGCGTTGGCTCGCTAACTTTGGATCTGGCTTCTTCGAGTTTCTTGTTGAAGATTTCCTAGGCCGGTCAGTACTCAGGTATGAGAGCATACAGACAGTATACGTACTTCAAGCTCGAGCGAGAGGTTGTAGATGTCGCTACCATCTTCGTTGTAGATACGAGCATTCTTCCAAATGAGACTGAAAGCTTCTTCGAAAGCGTCCCAGCTCTTGAACAATGTATGGCCTGTCGGAGCCTCGCGTCCCACTACTCCGCGAACCTTCTTCTGTATGGCGGCCAGCGACATGGGGTCTTTGATCAGCTGGTAGTAGTCCTTCAGGCTGCGCGACGGGAGGTTCTGGAAGGGTAGGAATATCTGCAGTCCTTGGCTGGAGAGTGTTAGCTGGCTGGTATTTCAGCATGGAGCATGCAACTTACTCCTCATAATCAAGAATCTCCCTCACGATCTGCTCCTGTGCCTGCTGGAATGTCTTTCCTGCATAATCAGCACTGTCGTCGTCATCTTCCAGCGCAGCAGACGCCGACTGTCGCAACTTCGACGGTGCTGGTGTAGCCGATGCTGCAATGGCGGCTGCGCGCCGAGGGCGGTCGGCTGTATCTTGCGTCGCAGGTGTATGTGTGTGGGCGGTTCTTGGGGTCGAGGTGACGCGGGGGGAAGGTTTCGACGGGGTGGAGTTGTCTTCGCCCGGGATCGGGGTGGCTGTTGCGACATAGTTGCCGTCACGGTAGGCGGGATTGTGCTTGACCATCCAGTTGGAGGCGGTCTTGCGTAGACGCTCGGCATCTTGGTATATGACGGAGTTCTTGTCGTTGAAGGCCTTTGCGTTGTTGACCAGTCGTTTGCAGTCGCTCTCGACTTGAGCTAGGGACGCGTACTCGCCGTTGTTGAGTTTGTTCTCGATGGTATCAATAGCAATGGGTAGTTTCGTGAATTCGTAGTAGTCGGGCACCTCGGCCTGCATGCAATTGTCAGTGGACCTGGTGTATAGAGGGAGCGCAACGGGGACATACCTTGTCGGGGAGAGTGAGGAAGTGGACGGCGATGGGGCGTCCGCTGCAAGTTGTCAGTGGGGGTCCTACGTCGGCACACTGGGGAGTATGGAAGCTGCCAGTGCGACAGACGTAAGGAGGGCGTCACGTACGTCTTGTCCTTGGCCTGCTTCAAGCTGTCGAGGAACTTCAAGCCTGCCGTCGTGGTCGACTCGACCGTCTCTGATCGGGAATTGGGCGTCTCGGCCTGCACGGAAGCGGTCTCCTGTCAGCATTGTTCTCTTTGTTGTCTGATCCAATTCCCGCCATGGCTGAGTGCATCGCCGGCGCGCGCGTGGTGTTGAGGGATTGATGAGGGGCCGACGGGGTGATGGCCTGGTCGTCGAACCCCCCAGGTGTCGCGCTGCTGGACTAAGGAGCATCCCGCAACGCGCCCATCACGCCTCGTCCATCTCCAGGACACGCCCGACGATGCATCGCCCACCACCACAGCCTGCACGTACCGTCCCTTTTTGTCGCTTCGCAGGGCGCCCGTCGTAGTCGCCCGCTGCAGCACTCGCGGCTTTGCGCTTGGCCGCGCTCTCCATTTCCGGTTGATTCGTGATCGCGTAGTCGGACTGAGTGGTTTGCCGAGCGTCTCGAGGCGTGTAGGGATCGTGGCGGCGGTGCAGTGAAATGCGCGTTCCGTCGTCAACCCGGTGGACGCGCCGCAGTGTTCAATCTAGGCTTCCCAGTTTTGCCAAGCCCCCGCGCACGGTCCGCTTGCATCACCAGATGCGTCCTCCACCACACCATGGCCACGGCAAATAGTAAACACTTGAACGTGCAGCATCACGCTTCAAACAATGTCATTCAGCCAATCAACTGTTTCTAGGTAGTGGGGCCTGGTCGCTATCTTCCAGGGGTATACTTGGGAAACGAGACCTCCGCTAATACTGCAGCAAACTCAACATGTTTGTAGGATCACGCCAGAAACAAGGAAAGTCGTCCAGAACTTCTCTCTCACTTCTGCACCGGCTCCGACGCCTTCTTCTCGAACTCTGCTCGCGCCTCCGCTTCCTTCATCTCGCGCACCTTGGCTAGCACAACTTCCCGGAAGATGGCGCCCTTTGCGATTCTGCTTAGGCGTCCAGGTCCCTTGCCTGTGTCTGCGTTCTCCTTGGTTGCCAAACTCTTGTCCTCGGAATGCGATGCAATGGCTTCGCCGGCTGCCTCGCGGGCGTTGGCGGGCACGTCTGCCTCGCCTGGTACATCCTCTTCCTCGTCTTCTTGCATCTTGAGCGCTTCGATGCGGTTGGCAAGCTTAACGAGCTCGATGCCGCGCTTGAGACGGGCCTTTGCCGCGTACGCCTTGATCTCTGGCACCAAGTTGTGGTCGGTAGCAGTGCTTCCGCTGAGCCACACGTGTTTGAGGGCAGCCTAGTATTGTTAGTGCATTCCAACAGACCCTGACTGCTTCATCGTACTTCACTGGTTGGTCGCTTGTCTGGGTTGGGCTCTAGCAGCTTCTTGATGAACTCCTTGGCCTCCGGGCTCACTTCCTTCCAGTAGCGCTCGTGGAAGATGACGCGACCGTTCTTGCATTCCTCAATCAGGTCCGCAAGGTTCTCTGACCGGAACGGCGAGTATCCGCACAGCAGTGTGTATGTGATGACGCCCATGGACCACATGTCAACGGGCTTTCCGTGACCCTTCTTGAGCATGACCTCAGGAGCAGCGTATCCGAATGAGCCAGCCATGGTGGTCAGGACTTCGCTCTTCGAATCAAGCATCTTGGCGATACCGAAATCCGCAAGTACGAGGGAGGAGTTCGCGTCGCGTGTGAGGTACAACAGGTTCTCTGGCTTGAGATCTATTCGGAATTAGCTGCTGTAGTCGCATCCGATCCGAGGCGGAGAATATACCTCTGTGAACGACATTGTTCTTGTGGAGGTAGTTGACTGCATCGAGTACTTGTCGGATTGTCTCAGCGGCGTCCTTTTCTGTGAACTTGCCCTTCTCGCAAATGCGATCGAAGAGCTCTCCACCCGTCGCCAATTGGGTTACAATGTAGTACTTGTCCTGGCAGGTGTCAGCTCCACAGTCCCACAGAAGGGACCCGTATCGCGCATACCCTTGACTCGAACCAATCGTGGAACTTGACAATGTGAGGGTGCTTCATGCGCTGTAGCATCTCCAACTCGTCGTACACCATCTGCTCGTTGCCGCGCACATTCTTCTTCAAGATGATCTTGACAGCGACCTTGCCCTCGGGGCAGTCAGCTTCGCGGACGATACCGTAGGTTCCGGCGCCGAGTGTCTTTCCGAAGCGGTATCGTGATCTGTGAATGGCATGTTCAGTACACGTCGGGGCGCAGGGCAGCAGGGTACAGACTTGCGATCATAGCTGTCGGGCTGGCCGTGCAGCTTGTTGAGCATGTTTGTCACTAGACCAGCAGTCAGTCCTGGATATCGCAATGCGCACCGCAGGGAGGGAAGTACAACTCATGATGGGCGAGCTGGTAAGCAGTTATACGACTGCCGCGAGCGTCGTCTCAGGCTGAGGGTGAGATTTGGGGTGCCTATCAGGCGCGTTCAGCTGGTGGTGGGGTGGGTGAGGGGTAAGAAACAACAGTTAGGTAGCAATGCTGTCTTAGGAGCAAAAGGCAAGGCTGCAAAGGAAAGTCGTGAAAAGGAGGCACGGAATTGGACCGGGTCAGCAACAAAGGTCGAGCGTCTTGGAAGGCTTGCTGGAGTAGCACCTAGCCTGGCTGTGGGGCAGGCGCATTCGATGTTCGTGTCCGCCTCGCGGCCTCCAGGGTTTGAGCCTTTGAGGCGCAGCGCCAGCGGATGGCTCAAAACCTAGCAGCAGCCCTCAACGCTTTCTCCATGCCATATTTGTCAGGCTCAATTGAACACAGCTCGATGCTACCACGTACTATCAGATGAGTGGGCGGACATTGCATACACACTCTGCTGCGGTATACACGCGTCGGGCAGGCTCAATAGGGTGTAGCACCTGTCACTGTCATCTTGACTCGCGAAGCATAGACATCTCTCTGCTCGCAGCTTCCTAACCATATCCTTAAGAGCCGAACAGTAATTCTCTCTTCTAGTACGAAAGAGTCCGTACTTTCGTATATTATTTCATGGTCTGCTCTAGTATGCCGACACCAACGGCCGCTAGACAATGAACAGTTGCATTCGCAGTATGACTACACTGCAGCTTGAAGACGCGACCATTCCAATGCTCTCAGAATGCATGCGCCACAGCAGGTAGGGCCCAGTTCATGCCAAGAAGGAACCGCTCGTTTGGTCCCGCAGTCGCAACGCGCGCAGGTTTGCATGTGGAATTCCTACGTCATGCCCTCCCGTCTACATAATCTGGGCCTTGATCGACAAACACCCACCATACCACGCACATCACTTCTTTATTCTGCCAAATCTCCTCTGTAGCAGCACTACACACCAATTTCCTCACAAACTCTCACACACAAACGAGCAACCGCACAGTCTCCACTATGGCTATCGGCATCTTCACCATCCTCGCTGGCTTGATCGCCTTGGCCGCCGGCTACTTCTACTTCTTCGGTATCTCCCCGGAGATGAAGCGCAAGATGGAGAAGCAAGCCCTCCAGACCATGGGCGAGAACAAGATGTCCTACATGGCCAAGGGTGAGTCTTTCCATACTCACAAACACCATGCCGCAAACACTAACACCTCGCAGACCAAATCAACAAAATCCCCACCTCTGACCAAGAAGACGTCAAGAACCTCAAGCAGGGAATCAGCAACCTCGCGGGCGGCGCCATGCAGAATCCCATTGGAGAGCAAGCTGGTGAAAGCGCTGATAGACTCACATCTCCGCTCACCGGTCGCTAATGCCTCTTCTTTTGTACAGTCCGAGCGGCGACCCAAGTCTGGGATCAGACCAAGGACGTGTCGAAGAAGATCTCGGATCGGTTCCACTAGGAGGTGGTGAAGGCGTGTCTGAGGGCATTGCTCGAATGCCTTCGGGGATGGGTTATCGCATCCAAGGAGACGATTCAGAGAGACGTCCGGAAGAAAGCGGAGTAGCGACACGACAGCAGAAGGCGAATGTTGGACATACCCTCCGTAGGCGTTTGGTGGTTCCTTTGTGGCTCCTCTCACGGTAGCCTTCTCCTTGTGTACCGTCCCGGCAGGTTTGGGCCGTACTCTCACGACCGTCATGGCTCTCATAACGGCCTCCCATGTCCCTAATGAAATCTTTCCCCGTCGTCTTGATAGACTTGTTTCAATCCCTCATCATCCAAGTTGTACCCCACCACTCCACACAAGCCACGCGACACCCTCCCAGCCCAAAACGATCCCCCAGAACACAGCCTGAAACCTCATCTTCTTCGTCTTATGCTGGAAATAGTGCATGCCTGCCAATGCTCCCGGCCACCCTCCGACTATCGCCAGTGTATGCAACGTCACTTCTTTGACCCTCCACTCCAGATTCCGCGCCTGCATCTTATCGTAGCCATAGAAGAGAAACGTTACTCCACTTATGAAGCCGACATAGATGAGCGAGTACACGGGTAGCGCCGCGATGGTGTAGAGGCGGATGAGCGTGACGGTGGGTAGGATGAGCGACGCGGTACCGCAGATGGTCGCGATGGTCAAGGGTCGGTGACGGGGACGCGCGCGTGGTGGCATTTTCACGATGGTCGGTGATGGCGTAAGAGAATCCGGGGGCTCGGGCGCATCGTGAGCGGGGAAGGAGCAGTATTGGCGACGTGCTGGTGAGTGATGGGCGAACGCGAGCGAAGCTTTGCCGATGCTCTGTCGATCTCCCGGGCCGTTGGCGGTTTGGTGCTTGGACGGAAGAGGTATAGTGTTACCGGAGGGCTAGCGTGAGGTGGTCAATTCGGCTGCGGCTCTTCGTTACCAGCCTCCGTGGTTTGCCGTTGGCATACACGGCCTCACATGCATGGTGGTGCATTGCACAATCCAGGAGTGGATATGGGTTCAGCCATCGTTGCTATGGACAGTATCACCACCCCCGAGGTACTACAAATGATCTGAGAATCCGCTCTACCCGACTTCACCCCTACATCAACGCAAGATGAACCACCAGAAGGCTCTTTCGCATTTCTCTTGCGGATTAGGTGACGGGCCGGTGCCTGAAGTCCAGACTATGCCCAATATTTGATGTCGTACGGCCCGTATTTCCGACCGTCATACGTATGCAACCAATATCGCTTGGAACCCTCTGCTGATGGATCTGTCTTTTCCGGGACTTCCACCACATACATCCTATCAGATTTCCACAAGGCACTGATATTGTCGGCATATTCCCAATTGCTGCTCAGAAATTCCTCATATTCCGCATCCTCGTCCTCGTCCTCAGACGGCGAATCACTGTCCCTATCAAGGAGATCTCCGTACGATGGAGCGTCAGTGCCTTCGTTTGCTGGCATTGACTCAAACGGTCCATCACTCAGCGCGGCAGTTCGTTTGACATCCTCTTCGGAATTCCCCCTTCTTCCTAGTCCTTTCATCTCATCTGTCGCATACAGGGTGAACGTTCTCTCCAGCTTCTCGAAATCTTCCAAAATTTGTCCGTAGTGCTTGTATGGGTCCGCAGACGGATATCGAATGTCCTCATCAAGGAGATCCCGCAGCCACTGTCATTTGGTCAGTAAATCTCTCTCGGCACCGGTATGAACGTGATCGTTTCTGCGAACTTACGGAGGCTTGTCTGCCATAGTATTTGGTTGCCTGCGCTGAGTAAGTAAGGTTTTGGTGCTCGTGAGGACATATTCTAGCACTGACCCTACTAAACCCCTCCGTCGCCCAACCATAGTGAAGCATGTATTTCAAGCGATCGTCTGGAACTTTCATGATGCCGCATGTGTATGCACAACCAATCGCACGAGTCCATTCAGCAGGATCTTCGTCTTCTTCGGCGAGTCCATCGAAACAGTACCTGATACACTATACTCCGTTAGATTCTAGATATTACTGGAGGGTACGTCTCAATCTCACCTGGCAGGTAACCTTCTCGCGGAGCGCGTCGATACTGGGTTGGGCTTTCGGAACTTCGATGTCGGGAGTTTGCTGTGAGCCAGGTGCCTGTGCAGTGCCGGCAACGGCACTGCACAAGACAACACCGAGGATGTTGGTAAGGAGCTTCATGATGGGGGAGTTATTTCCTAGAACTTGGTGGCTGCGCTGTTGTTTAAATAGATGTGAACCCTCTTGACGCGTTCGGGTGCGATCGCTTCAGTGCGGAGAGAACAGAGGTGGCATGGTTCCTGAACCCTTGAGTGATGGCTTGATCCATTGAACTCCAAACCCTATCCAATGAGCCATCGTCAAAACGCTCAACGTCCTGAAGACGCGCGTCTCCAATCGGCAATCAAACGATAACCATGTGCGAAAGCTGGACACCGTCGCGAGAGAAGGGTTTATATGGCAGGCTTTCGCATGCCTTCCTTTTGTACTGATCGTTGAGCTAGTGCTTTGGGACGCGATACAGCCTTTTTCCAAGAGCTCTCGGGTATCTTCATATGATCGCGAGAGCTGACTGTACTACAACCTACTTGAAGATGTCCAAATCCTCTCGGTCTTGTATTCCGAATGTATACTGTGGCTTCCCTCATTAACCCGCAAAGCGCTCCTCTCAACACCCCAACCGCTTCAAATGCTCCGGAAGATCCATAACATCACGCGGACGATCTCTCATAAACTCATCTGCCACACGCTCACAGTCCTTCGCCTGCAACACAAACATCGCCCGCCACGTCTCAGTAGGCTGTTCAGCATACTGCACCCTCGTCAGCACACCCAAGTCCACAACCACACCCAACGGAATGCTCAGACGTTTATCCTGGTCCCACTCACGTTCGGATCCTCCTTGCATGCCTTCAAGCAGCGGATGTAATTCCAATCTCCCTCTCCGCCTCGGCGAACCTTGTACTTGAGCGTGTCCATGCAGTAGTTGTAGCACTAGGTTTTGTTAGGCGATTTTTTCATGCAGGGGGGGATTTAGTGTCTTGACGTACCTGTTTGAGGGGTGTTGTGGGTTCGAGATCTGCGAGAGGGATTGTGTCGGGGTTTTGACGCAGCTGGGATTCGGATAGGTGGACGGAGGCGGTGGCGGCGGCGCATAGGGCTAGGCGGAGGATGGTGGTGCAGAGCTTCATGGTGGTGTGGATGGTATGTTGAATATAGGAGCTGAGGAGTCGCAAGCTGGGTGGTGGAAGTATTTAAAGCAATTGCATGAGGTCTGTGGAATGGTTTTGCGGTTTGCGAATCCACGGTTGATAATTCGGTACTACCAGAATCACACACATCCAATACCCTGTCCACGTATTGCTGCATTATGACCACTGTTTTGGGGGCAGGGGAAGGTAAAATTAAGAGGGTACATTGCTGCCACATACGAAGCTCGTTAAGGCAACACTCTAACAAAGCTGCAACCTCCCTTCATCCTCACGCATGACCGGCACGCCCGACAACCTTCAAAGCCCTCACGGTCTACTAACAGGACCTTGATAAAATTTCCTCAGCACCTTCTCCTCCTCATCCGTAATCCTCCTCTGGATCTTATTCCTCAAAATCTCAATCTGGCGGTCGTACTCCCACCGCGGTGTATCCGCACCCCTCATACCAATGAACCTCGCAAACATCCTCATCTTGATCTTTAACCGTTCCAGCTCACCTAGTTTACAGTTTTCGGGCAAGGTATCGCTGGCATCTAAGAAGGGTTGTTGCCAGTTCATTGTCTGGGGATATTGGTTTGTGAGATCTGTTGAATGTGTTTGGGAATAGTAGGCAGCTAGCGCGTCGAGTTGCGCTTCGGTGAGGAGGAAAAGATCGAGCATTGTAGAGGGGAACTCGGGTGCTGGTATCCCTGTCTCCACGTGCACTATGGGGGCGATGGTGAGGCGCATTTCGGCGATTTTATTTGCGAGGGCTGGGTTGCGGTTCCATGGTGACATCTTTCTTGCTATTCGCCTTTGCACAATGCTCGATGTGGGACTTATTGCTTTGTTGATTCCGTTTGTATCGCTCATGCGTCGGTTAGGCATATGTTCGTTTGGTAGAGAGATTCTGGTCGGGCAAGGGCTTGCTGAATGAAGAAAGTTTGCTGCGGGAGGACGTGTGCGACGATATTTGGTATGAACCAGCCGGGAATGTGTAGCATGCAAGGTTGAAGGCTCGCCGTAGTATATAAAGGCGACACAAACGGGCGTGGCGGCTGTCAGAAGAATGGGTCTTGTTGGAGCTTTGCTCTTTGTTAAGACACCACCGCTCAAGACTTGCTCTTCTGACTCCCAGTATCTCGTGAAGAGTAGAATCTTTGTCTTTCTTCTGTCACGTGTCCATTGTTCCCGTGTGGATGATGGAAGGTTGCTGCTGCACAATGTTGCGCATTCATGGCAGTGACGGTAGTGCTTGATGAAGGCGGGGGGCTGATCACCCTTGTTGAGGATGCGGTGGCGTGTTGGCTGACATTGTGATGCGTTGGCAAATCTTTCATGATCTGAACGCCGCTGTACAGCTCCGTTTCAGACACAACCAGCGGTGAATTGTCAACCTCTTCGTTTTTGAAAACTGTGGTGGGGTCAGATAATGGGAATGAAGACCTTGGATGCGTCAGGTATCTGAAGGCAGGGAGCGTTGATGGAAGGAGGCCTCAAGCGTCGAGAATGGTTTGGAGAGACACATCGTTCTCAGCGCCACCAACTGGCTCGGTATTTTTCCAGAACTTGCTCAAGTGCCTTGCACCACTGTGAAGGTGTTAGTACGTATTTGGAATTTTGAGACATGGTCTTACCTGTCGCATAATATGGTGACGATGCGGTGTCCTGGACCAAGTGTCTTTGCAAGTTTCGTGGCAGCGACGCCTTCAATAAGTCAGTGCCGCCTGCTGTTGAACGCTTCACAACTTACAGTTCACAGCACTAGAGCTTCCAACAAAAATGCCATCATGCTCAACCAACCAGCGCGCCATGGAAATTGCTTGGTCGTCGTTAACCCTGATGGCATCGTCGATCAGCTCCCTACCAACGTCGAAGTTGTGAGTCACTCTGTTGATGCCGATCCCTTCAACGATTGTGTCCACTTGATGTCGCCGCCGCGTTCCTTCTCTTTCCTTGGGGTCGAACATAACACCGTACTTGACGCGGTTGAACAAGCCGCTGCCAGGGGGATCCGCAAGGACGACCCTGATGTCGGGTAATTTGGACTTTAGGAATAACGCTACTCCAGAGATAGTTCCTCCCGTGCCAGCGCCGCTAACGAAAGCATCCACACGACGCCCAGTTTGCTCATAGATCTCAGGCCCCGTGCCAGTGAAGTGTGCGCGCCAGTTGGCTTCCGTTTCGAATTGATCGGCGAACAGTCCTCTCCCTGGCTTTTCGGAACTTGCAGTGTGTTCTTCTGCTCGCGATCGTGCGAGGTTGACAAATTGTTTCTGGTCCACGATAGGCGCCGGGCGCACTCTTTCTACTTCAGCACCAAGCTTCAGCAGGAGATCTGACTTCTCGATTGCCATGTCGTTTGGCATGCAGCTTCGCTTGTCAGCCAACACACCTCTGAGTCAGATGACGACTTACATGTGTGCTTTGTAGCCTCTTGCTCTGCAAATGGCGGCTAATGATATGCCAGTGCTCCCAACAGTGCCTTCGTATATGGTGTCACCAGAGTGTGGGATCAAAAGACCCTTCTCTTCAGCCTGTTATGAGAATCAGCAAACATAAATGATATAGACGGGAGGCGGAGTAGAGTCTTCTCTTACCATCTCGATGATGCTTAGAGCGACTCTGTCTTTTGGACTGTTGCCGGCTCCGTTGAGAAACTGTGGCTCACGTTAGCGAACGTTCGAGCCAAATTCACGTAAGTTTTCTACCTCAGCTTTTGCAAGTATGTCACATCCCGTGAATTCGGAAAGTGACTTGATTCTGATGAGGGGCGTGTCGCCGATGCATCCTTCGATGCCTTCCTTGATGTTGACTGCGCCGTGTCCACCACCGAACTCCAATAAACTCTTCTTCAACGTTTCTAAGTCATTAATCTTTGCGAGTTGCGATAGCCATTTTTGCTGCTGTGCCAGAAGTTGGTCTGCATTGTCTATTCCTTCTATCGATCTCTTTTTGTTGTATGCAGTCGTCAGAGCAATCCCTAGCAGCAAAGCGCCTAAGAGGTAATATTTGGAGCGATCCACCATTTTTCAAAAGTTGGGGAGTTGTGGCGTGCAGTTTGCAGAGTTGACGCGATCGGAGCTGGTGGTATCCCCGTCTTGGCGCGGCTGCCCGCAAAGCTCACCACGTGCATTCGCGCGGAAGACCATTGCCACCACTGCTGTCGCGACGCATTCGCGACAATTGTCTCTGGCGCCAATGGACTCGCCGCTCGCCACGCAGCTCTTCCGCCAGCTGTTCTCGCATCGAGCGTCGCAATGTCTTGCCCGCGGAGCCCGGCCAGCGCTCGCAGGCGCCCGCATACCACACCACCAAAGACGAGGCAAGGCCACACGGTTGGGTGAGGGTGAAACGAAGCGCGAGAGCAGATGGACACCGAGAAAGAATGCATTCCCTCATGAGAGGACGGAAGAGTTTGAGAGATACCCAATGGTCACAGCGGACATGCTGCGGAGTAGGAGAGAAAGACCGCGCAGAGTCAAGATGTTGTTGCGCGACTTCATAGAAGGTTGGGACTCTTACATGTGGTGTATTACTATACTAATAGATGTATAGACAGCTTATACAACCCCAATTACGGCTACTTCTCCAAGCAAGTAGTCATCTTCTCTCCGGGCGATCCATTCGACTTCAACTCCATGGGCTCCGAGCACGAATTCTTCCAGCAGCTGCGGCACCGCTATACCGCCTTCGAAGACGATCTTGATTACCAAGAACCGAACGACCTGCGCCAGCTCTGGCATACGCCGACCGAACTCTTCTCGCCCTACTACGGAGAAGCAATCGCACGCTACCTCGTAGAGGACTACAAGTACAATTTCTACCCATACCATGATTTGAACATATACGAAATGGGCGCGGGTAACGGTACAATGATGTTGAACATCCTCGACTTCATAAGAGACGTGCACCCAGACGTGTACGAGCGCACCAAGTTCAAGATCATCGAGATCTCCAGTCAACTGGCCGACCTACAACAGAAGGGTCTAGGGCACTCAGCGTATGCACGAGGTCACTCCGACAAGGTGGAAATCATAAATCGCAGTGTCTTTGACTGGAACATCTACGTCTCTTCCCCCTGCTATTTCCTCGCATTGGAAGTCTTCGACAACTTCGCACACGATGCCCTAAAGTACGACTTCGAAACGGGCCTCCCATATCAATCCCACGTCGTCATAGATCCTCGTGGGGAGCTCTTCGAATACTACTCGCGCACCATAGACCCCCTCGTTACCCAATTCCTCGAGCGCAGACACGCTGCCTGTACCACATACCCACACCCGCTGCAAGGCTCGCGGCTCATGAACAACCTGAAGAGCTTGGTACCGTTCCGCTCTAATATGAGCATGCCGGAGTACATCCCAACGCGGCTGATGCAGTTCTTCTACATGCTGTACGAGAAGTTCCCAAACCACAAGTTGATTAGCAGCGACTTTCACAAGCTGGGCGATGCGGTCGAAGGTATCAATGCGCCTGTTGTGCAAACGAGGTATAAGAGGCAGATGATTCCTGTTTCGACACCTCTTGTAAGTCTATTACCGTTTTGTTACAAGACAGCCACTAATACGTCCCAGGTGCACCAAGGCTACTTCGATATACTCTTCCCCACTGACTTCGAAGTCATGGAACCCATGTACACGTCGATAACCGGGCGCTTCGCACGAACGTACCTACACGAAGATTTCATGGCCGGCAGAGCAGACATTGCGGAGACGACTACAAAGAATGGCGACAACCCCTTGCTGAGCTGGTACAAGAACGCCAGTGTCATGATTACGGTATAGATCAGAGCCATACGGTCCTCTCACGGTCATCATGTAGGAGAACAATATGAAGATGCCAACAAAAGTTGGCAGCTACTCGGGCTCCTGTCCCTTCCATGTCTCCTTGACAGCAGTTACGTCCATCTCACATACCTCAGCATGTCTCAATATCGCATGCGCTTTCTTCACAACTGGCGCATCGATCATCTTGCCATCCAATGTCCAGGCCCCTCGTCCAGCTTTGCTTGCCTTCTCATCCGCGATGACTACCCTTGTCGCCCAATCGAGCTCCTTCTCCCCAGGGCTGAACGCCTTATGACACACGGCGACTTGACTTGGGTGTATGCATTGCTTGCCGTTGAACCCCAACCCTTTGCCATTCAAACACTCTTCCTCTAGTGTCTTGAGCCCCTGCTCGCCCTTGTAGCTCGTACACACCAAGTCAATAGTACTAGGAAGTCTGGCAGCCCTCGCCGCCGTCGCAATCGCACTCCTTGCATACAAAAACTCCATGAGCGAGGGTGTGCGCGTAAGACTCATATCCTTAGCAAAGTCCTCTGCCGCAAAGACGAGCCCCGAAATATACGGCGAAGCCGCGCAAATCTCACTCAGATTCTGGATCGCCTTTGCGCTCTCTATCAGCGCTATTATGCGCACTGGCTCCCTCTTCCCTTGTGTCCCTGCACTAGGATGGCGGTCGGGCGAGAGATGCCGTATCACGTCCGTGACGAAATGCAGGTCTGCAGCGCTTTCGCACTTGGGCAGCATGATGGCATCGAGGTGCTCGCCTTTGAGCACTTCGGTCAGGTCATCCAGCGCGAGGCCTGTGTCTACGCTGTTTATCCTTACGCACATCTCTTTTATCCCGGCGGGTCGGGGCTTGTTGAGGACGGAACGGAGGTTGGAGCGCGCTTCGGGCTTCATGTGCGGGGCGACGCTGTCTTCGAGGTCGTAGGTTACGTTGTCGGCGGTCATGGCGAAGGACTTTTCGAGCATTCTCTTGGAAGAGGACGGCACTGTGAGGAGTGTCAGTATGGTACTGGTGGAACTGCTTGTATGGTATGTGAATGGAGTGGTGATGGTATACCGTACATGCACGCCCTCCGTATAATTGGCGCCGCC